CCCAAACTGGAATGGGCTTTTCCAAACTACTGAATTGACCTATAAAATGTAGTTGAGAACGGGGCATTCCAAACCCTAGAACAGGCCGTTCTGGAAGGAGTACGGGCCGTTCTGGTTAGAGAACGGGTCATTCTGGATGAGTCCCAGAACGGGCCGTTCTGATTTCAGAACGGGCCGTTCTGCATGTAATTTTTGTACGTGATGAAGGGGTGCAAAACGGGCCGTTCCGATTTCGGAATAGGCCGTTCTGGCCACTTCGGAACTTCTATAAATAGGGGTTGGTGGTTGAGAAGAAAGTGAAGTTTTTAGAGAGAAGTTTTAAAGCGAAGGACTCTAGGTCTGTGAGCTCCTTTCTCTCCCAAATTTCTCTGTATGATTCTTTTTCTCCTTTAGATCACTAATGCCTTCTATTTTTTTTTTAAATTCAGATTAGGAAGCTTGCTTTGGGAGGATTGAAGTTCCGGGTTGAGCTTCGGAAGGGAATTCTACTTCTTCTCAGTTATTGGCTATTTTGAGCCAATCTTCAGGTGAGGGAAACTATAATGTAGGTTGTTTAATTTCAGGAGAGTTAGGGAAGCTTTATGCATAGTATTCTTTTGTTGAAATAGTTGAGTTGTTGGGTGCTTAGGTTGATTTATGTTGTTTATATTATGTAAGTTGACATGATATATGAATTTTAAATATGTTGTATATTGCTGAAGTTGTTTATAAAGTTGTTAAGTTGCATTAAGTTGATATTATAATGACTATCATTGTTTAATTAAGTTGTTTGCATGTTGTTAAAATTATTAAAGTTGCATAGTTGTATGATTGAATAAGAAGTTGTCAAGCTGGTATATAATGTCTATTGTTGTATTGTTGTAAGTTGTCTATTGTTGTTAAGATGTATATTGCTATAAAGTTGTTAAGATGTCTATTGCTGAAAAGTTGTATGTTGTTTAAGTTGTTAATTAAGCTGATTAAGTTGTGATGATGAGTTGTTGATCACTAGGACTAGGGGAGATGTTTTCGAAGTTTCTCATCCTATTGTGTGGATTGAGATAGTTGTGGTGCTCTGAGAGCCCAATTTGTTGAAAAACCCTCCTTGGAAAGTTGTCCCTTGGAGTGGATGTTGTGTTGTTCTCCTCTAGGACTTAGTTGATCCCGTGTGTGGGCAAGGTCGAGGCACACGTGTACAAAGCGACCACGGTATAGGGGTCAGGCCGAGCTATACTGATTACAAGCGGCCAGATGTTTATTGTTGTAAAGTTGTTATGGTGTCTATTGTTGTAAAGTTGAAAAGTTGGGGACATATGGTGAAGATATATATCCTATGTTGAGATACATAATACTAAGGTGATAAGTTGAAAGTTGTTTTAAAGTTGAATCACTTAGTACTGTGTGGACGACATGGAAATAGTCGATCCATGTCATGGTTGAATGACCAATTTGAGTAAGGTATCTAGTTAGAGATGTAGTCTTTGACTAGGTACTGGAGGGTGCGTGGTACTTGGAAGACAGTGGGTGGGCTAACTCCACATGTGGATTGGTGATGCTAGCCAAGGTCGTGGTAGGCTCATACCCAAACCCTTCTGTCCTGACAGTAGTACTGAACCTTCGAGTCTAAGTGGCACACTTGAGCAATCGCCTATTATTTTCTATACCTGGTTCTCTTCGGAGTTTCTAACACTGTTCTATACCTGACCTGGTTGAGATAGGTCAAACGCTAGATTCAGTAGGGTTTATGCCACCTAGACTGCTCAACCTCAGTTATTAGAGATCTCCTAGTTGTACATGCGTGACGAAGCATTAAATATTAAGTTGTATATTATTGTTGTTGTTGTTGTATTAAAGTTGTTTCTAAGTTGTATGAATGAGTTGGGTTTTTATGTTGAACTATATGGTCGTTTGTGATGATGATTGATATGCATTAATATCTGTCATGAGATGCATTTATTTCATGATTGTTAATATGATGAAGTGTGTGGTGTTTGGCTTCATGATTGATGGATTGTATTTTATGCATTAGTAGTATTGGATAGAGTATGATGTGACTCTATGAACATGATTGATAGTTGGATGATTGTGTGGTATAGACTATTGTCTGTACTTGTATGATTGATTTTTGAACTCTAGCTTACCCTTCTGTTTCCATGTGGTGGAACTGCGATGATCATATTTGGTATGGGAGTAGGTCAGGACTAGCTTGGAGTTGAGGTGACCGCTACGAGACGGGGAGTTTTGATCCTCGTGTTAGAGTTACCATTTTGGGTAACGATTTTGTCTGTGCTTGACCGGCACTAGAAAATATTATTTTTGGGATGACTATACATATATAGTGTTTTATTTTATAACCAGAAACTTAGTTATTGTCATTCTTATTTATACCTGTATGTATGAGTTATCCAGCTTAATATTTCTCTTAATTCACTAGTAGTAATGCGATTCCACTAAATGTAGAGACCATGGTGGGTCGTTACATAAAACATTATACTAAAGATGTTTTAAAAAATTCTCATCCTTTTAAATTTTCCAAATATTAGAGGACAGATAAAATTAGATGAGAAAAGAGGTTTTATGTCACTTCTCTATTAAAGATTGAACCAAATATGAGTAGGTTATAAAAACTTTTCTTCTCTCATTTCTTTCATTTTCCTTCGACCAAACATAAAAGATGCAAATATTATACTATCTATACATCATATGTTAAAATATAGAAAACTTACATCGTTATCCATTATTAAATTTTAAAAAGCTATCTTTGTTAATTAAAAATGTTCAGTTTTAGAATTTAAAAATCTATCAATTTTTTTAATTAAATTATTTTTTTAATGTTAAAAATCTACCAATTTATTAATTAAATATGTCCACTATTTTTTCAATTTAAAAAATCTATCAATTTATCATGTAATTGGTGAATAATGTGCTTCTTTTTGCTTAGAATAGGGTTGGAAATGAGCTGATGAGTTGAACCAAGACTCGACTTAACTCAATAATATTTGTCTTAGCTTATAGTTCGGCTTGAGTTTGATATGGACAATTTTTTTCAACTTAAACTCGATTTAATTCGAACTCATTAAGTACGATAGCGACAATGCACAAGTATAACATTTTTACTAGTGTCATATGCATGATAACATGTAGTCTATGTCCATTGCAAACACATTATAAATATACCTGTTATTGTTTATTATGTTGTGGCTGAGCTAAGTATGATGATTACTTTTAACTACGTATGCTATATAATGTTATATGTGTTGTTTATGTTTGACTAGCGGGTTTGTATTCCTATACTATGAGCTCTAGTGAGATGTTTCTCACTCTTTTTCCTTTTATGCTATTTTCTTATGATTTTTACAGGTAATCATCGTAATGATAATGAGGATGTCAGTGATGAGACTTAGTTCTCAATGTTAGATTTTACTCCTATAGGACACGTAACACCGAAAAATTAGTTAAGACTAGTTAATTACTTTGAGTAGTTTAATTTTTATTTTCATTGTAATTGTTATTTCTGCTAAATCTAATTTATGCTAATGATTTTCTCTACCTGTGTGAATCTTGAGTCTATTTATTATATTGAGATTATTCAGTTTTATATTGTATTATGACATGTGGGATAAAGGTGTCACATAAACTGTCCATGATTTTTTAAATTTTCAAAAGTTTACCCATTTATTAAGTAAATATGCACATTTTTTATTTTAAAAATCTAGAAATTTGTTAAATTAATTCATGATACTTATTATTATTGTTTTTGAAAGGCAGTTAGAAAAAAAATGTCTTCCTTAAAAACCAACCACCATCATTCTTTAATAGTGTTTAATTTAAAGGAAAGTAAGAACTTTAATGGAATGTGAAATAGAATTTAAAATTTTGTTTAATTGAGAAGATAGTAAGGAAAGTATCGTTTTTTTTTTTTTTATATTTGATTTACAAGAGAAAGAGATAAATTTTAAAAATTAATTTATCTTTGTATCTTTATAATTCTAAATTTTAAAACCTTTCTCTTCTTCCTAAATCTCCTGATATCGAAGGGTAAGTAAAATTAGATGGGTTTTACTCCCCTCCTAAATTGAACCCAACAAAAAGTTTACAAAAATTCATCCCCTACCTTCAATTACTGATGAATAAGTGAGACCTTAAATATGAATTTATAGTCTTATCTATTTAAAATTTGACCAAATATATTTAATTAAAAGGTAATTAAAAGTTTGAACTTAAAAACTAATATACATATTATATTATTAACAATATAATTAAATAAATAAAATTTGTAATATACAAATTAAATTATTAATATCAAATTTTATTATGTTTAAATATTTTACATTATCAAATCTTTAATGACTCTTTTTTTTCATCTTCATAATTAATTATTTAAATTATTTTAAATGAACTATAAAAAGTATTTAATTTTTTTAACAAGATTATCTTCTTTTATGTGTCTCAGTGTACATTTGTGTACACACACATACATATATATATATATATATATATATATATATATACATACATACATATATATATATATATACGAGTTGTCTTTCTTTTAATTTTTTTTTAAAATCTAAATTTTAATAATAATGGAAGAAGTTATTTTTTTATTACACAAATTAAAAAAAAAATTGCAAGTATATTTAAAAATATTTTTATTGGCTTATTTAAAATTATGTTAATTTTTCTATTTAACTTGTTAATATAAAATAAAAAGTTAAGTTATATTTATAAAAAAAAATGTTTAAGATAAATAATAAATTAATTTTAAACTAATTTTATAAAACAAGTATACTTAAAGTCTCCCCAAACATAAATTATCCTAACATGTCTTTGATAGCACACTATATGTGAAGGAGTTATTTATCACACTTTTTTTTTTCCAGATTTATCTCTCACTTTATTACTTTTTTAAAATCTTTGGCCAACTTACGGCGCAACGGAGTAAACCCTAATGTAAAAAAAAGTCTTTAAATATTTAACAATAATATAAATTTATATTCTTATTTTAAAAATCTCATGATTATGTTTTGCTCTCTACTACCGTTCAGTGCACCACAGACTCCAATCCAAAAAATAACATTTCTCTTGAACCGATCATCTACTCTACATTGTTACTGAATCAGCTGAATCGCCAACCGAAGATGGTATTTTTTCGATCACCCCTTACCTAGAATTGTTCTTTTGTAGCTTTTCACATTTTGATACTGTATTGTAAAGCGTAAAAGGATGCGCGAAATCTTTTATGTTTTGTGTTATCACATACATAAATTTGTTTATTACAAGCCAATATTCCTTTTGATGAAAAAAAAACCGACATGCAAACATATATAGGCCGTAGAATCTCTTTTGTGATGAACTTGATTATGAAATAGATTACAATAAATGAGAAATGTTTATTTTATGTGTGTTCATGACTCTAATAAAGATCAGTCAATACTTTTGACAGATGTGATATTTCATACATAAATCATGGTTACTATTTTTTTATTTATTTATTTTTTATTTGTTTAGTGATAAATTTTTGGAATAAAATAGATATGATTTTAAGTTGGAATCTTGCTAACTTCATTGCGACTATAATGGATTTTTCAAAAATTCTCTTTGATCTAAACGAAATTTTGAAGTATTTGTCTAATTTTTTGGTCAGACATTAGTAAAAGGAAAAGGAAAAGAAAAAGATGGAAAATTGGTGAAGACGAGGAAGCAACGAATATCAAGTAGAAGAAATTGCAAAGAAGACAGGATCAGTAACTTGCCTAAGGGTGTTTTGCTCCATATATTGAACTTAATGGAAGTGAAAACTATTTTTCAGACTTCTGTATTATCAAAACAATGGAAGGATCTTTGGAAAAGTGTCACCTATCTCTCTCTCAATTCCTCTCACTTTAGAACAGTTGCTGATTTTAACAAATTTGTGTCTCATTTTCTTTCTAATAGAGATGACTCCATTTCTCTACTTAAGCTTTTTGTTCATCTCCATCGTTGTAGTGAGCTCAAACTCCTGAATAGGATGATGAAATATGCTGTGTTGCACAAGGTTGAGAGGTTGGCAATTGAGATATCATGTTTGTCTTTAGCGGCCAATAATAAATTTCCCCCTTCTATTTTTTCAAGTCCATCTATCTCATTTCTTTGGCTTTTTGTAGCTATCTATGGCCCAATTATGAAATTACCACCATCTCTGCAGTTGCCAGCACTAACAACCTTGAGTCTCCACAAGGTTTGTTTTACTGCAGGAGACAATGATTGTGCTGAGCCCTTTTCATCATGTAAATTGTTGAAGACTTTATTCCTTAATGAATGTTCTTTGCATGATGATGCAAAAAGGCTTTGGATATCTAATTCTAGTCTTGCAAAATTGACCCTGCATCATTCCTTTACAGAAACTTACAAACTTGTTCTTTCTACTCCAAATCTTAGTTTTCTCAGTGTCACTGGTAATATCCGGTCATGTTATGGTGAAGTCTCCTCCACATGCAATCTTTCATTTCTTGAAGAAGGAAATATTGGTGCCAGATATTCAATCATGTCAAACTGGCTGCAACTGTTTGCTAATGTAAAGAAATTGACACTGTTTGGGATTGGCATGGAGAATATTTTAAGTGTAAGATATTTTCATAATGCTCCAGAGATATTTGCATTCTTATGCTAATTTTTACCTTTTCATTCTTATATTTCTGAGTATCCATTATAACATGTCTTCAAATAATTCTAACTGTGTAGGTTCTTGCTTATCCTTTGCCGGAGGAAATTCAACATCCTTACTTTGTTAGATTAAGGTCATTGGAACTGATGATGGATTCAGAACGAAAACTATCTGATGAAAAAGTAGACAGTATTGTGCAGTATTTTCTTCGGAACTCTCCACTGAGCAGAGTTAATGTCATCAAGGACTGAAAGTTATATATTCCTATTTCATGCTTGTTTATTTAGGTAAATATGTTTCCAAAGTATTCCATTGTCTCATTATTTTATGTTTCCCTTTCTTCTAGATGCTTTCTTCTGACTAGAAATTACAGGATGTTTATATAGCTGGGATCAGACTGGAACCTAAAATTTTCTTATTCTTTGACATGTTTACTAAAATCTATGTTAGGTGAAGATTTTTCAAATATAGTTCAGTTTTTATTTCATTTTATTGAAGTCAATGACTCCATTTTACACATTTGTAAGCATCGAACTTATGAAATATTTTTGTGAATTTTATAGGTTTGGTTTGTTTGAAGGAAAGGAACATTGGGCAAGTTGAAGTTGAAGAGAATGATGTTGGGTGACAGCTAGAAATGAGAAGGACAATATCAGTGGCATGGGCACCTTACTTTGTTCTGTTCAGCATACTGAAATATTTATGTATTAGTTTTTGTCTAATATTTTGCTTTATTAACCTTTATGATGCTCGCTTAGACTCTTCTAAAGGTTGTTGTGCAATGAGTTTCATGATTATCCTCTTGAATATAGACTTTTCTTTGCTGTTATTTTTGGCTTCTGTTCAGCATACTGAAATATTTATGTATTAGTTTTTGTCTAATATTTTGCTTTATTAACCTTTATGATGCTCGCTTAGACTCTTCTAAAGGTTGTTGTGCAATGAGTTTCTTGATTATCCTCTTGAATATAGACTTTTATATTGCTGTTATTTTTGGCTTCGCAGATGAAAATTTTAATTATAAGAAACTATCACCATGTGGAATAATTTGTGTTAGTTGTTTTGTTTGTGTTATGCCAAGATTAGGAAAAAAGTTTTTTATTTTTTATTTTTTTACTTTAATCATTCCGTGTATATGGGTAGTTAAGGCAAATGTTTAACTTGTATTGATTATTGGCTGATTAGGAATACATAATTTTAAACTTAGAATGCTTAAGTAAAGAGTTAGAGTTGTTCTAGACAAGGACACTTAATAAACTAAAGAATTTGTAATGTCAGTATTTGTTGTTGTATGCTTTATCATCATAATAATTCATTAAATCTGATTTAGGCTAAGAATTAATTAATTTTAGGGTTCATTTCCTTTAAGCAAATTAAACTATATAGTAGACAATTCATAACAAAATCACGAATAAGAGTTCTATCAATAGCTTTTGATCAAGTATAATAGATAACAATGACATGTTACACAACCATTATCCTTAAAACAAGTCACATAATGTTGCTGAGTCTGTAACCTTAAAAATCCTAACATTATTGTTACCCATCTAACAATGAAAACTGTTCATAACAAAAAAACAGCTCCATATCCATTTTGCGTACCTTTTAAACTTATAGTTTGCTTAAGCTTCAACAGTTCTTGAGCTACATAAAACTTACTACTGTTTTTTCTACAATCACCCACTCATACAAAATCTTAATCCACATTGAACTTGTTTTCAACAACCATCCACCGCTTTTGAACATAAAAAAATCTAACAAAAGGAAGATAGGTAAGTCCTTGAACAAGAAAATTAGTTAAATTTGAACAAATATTACCATTGAATTTGGGTATTGTGTAACATTTTCCCTGGGTGTTCATCCATATATGAGATGAATTTCACTTCCTGTTTCTTACGATGTCATAATATTCGCATTTAATTTTTTATCCTCTTTGTTTATAAGACAAGACTTAGGTGCATTTTTATTATTATTTATCAAAATTAAAGTTTTATCTTAATAATATAGGTATCATAGAACAGTAGTACCTATGAAACTATATATAAGTATTAGTGTTTTCTTTTATATACCCCCTTCTATTGTAGTTTTTTTCTATTTACAATTTCCCTTTGATTTCTCTCACTATATGTTACTTTTATGATTCATTTTTGTTGTTGTCATGCTACAAATATCTCTCAATTCATTAAGTCATAAACTAATTTCGGTCAGTATCATGATTATTGTTGGTTAGATGTGTTTTCATGTTTGATGAAATTGATTGCATACTAGATTTTCCACTAATCAGATTGTTCCTATTAAATACATTGTTTGTACAATGTGTAAATTTATTATGCTATACGCTTATTGCGAAGGCATTTTGCACCCATTGCAATCATCCTTATTTGCTAGCCTTTCTAGAGAGGTGGTTTCCTTTTTGTACATATATCTTTGGGAGAGATTATAGTATAGAGGAAGAGGATATTGTTGTATTCATACACTGTTAGAATTGTCAATTATGGTCAATTTGACATTCATGTTAGGTTAGGTCAATTTGACGTTGGACTAAAGTATTTTTTAACCTAGCCTAGTCCATAATGGACTCTGGCCAGTCATGGACTAGCCAATTTTCAAAATAGAAAAAAAATATTAAAATAATTTTTTTGTATAATAATTTAATAAAACATTTTTTAATCACTATAAACTATAACAAGAAAATATATATTGTTATTTATACTATGAAATAGCAAAACATAATACATAATAATAAAAATAAGATAAAGTAAATTAATTATAACTAAAAGGATAAAAATAAAAATACATAAAAACATTAACTTTAAAATGAACATATTTATATATGTTAGAAAAGAATGGCACAATCCAAGAGGGGGGGTGAATTGGATTCAATGACCCTTTAAAAATTTATCAGAGTATTTTGCATCTTAATTTCAATCAAAACTTTTCTATGACAGAATTTCCAAATGAAGCTCTTCTAAAGACTTGTTATGAAAATATGAATGCAATATGCTCACTTGATTACAACATAATGAGGTTCAAAAATAATGTTCAATTACAGATTTAAACCATCAAGATTCACATACACTTGTTAATCAAGTTTTATCTTCTTCGAAGTTGAACCAAGAAATTACACAATGTAAAAGATAAGGTAGAAGAAGATTGCACAAGTCTTTTATACTGGTTCAGCCACTCCACATGTGACCTACATCCAGTCCTTAATCAACACCTGATTAAGATTTGTTCCACTATCTTTAAGCAAGAAGGTTTACAAGCACACACACATGCATATACTTCAACACTAAAAGATAACCACTTTCTTGACCCCAAGAAAGCACCCCTTGTAGAACCCACTACAAGAAACCTTATTACTTGAGAAACCCTTCTCAAGATTTTCCACAAAGATTCACAAAGAATAAAAGGAACGAATTCACCTGGAATTCTTGAACAAATCTTTATCTTCCCCTTTCAAGAATATGATGATGATGATCTTCTACCAAAGCTTTTCACAAACGTTTTCACTCTTGGATTTCACAAAGAAAACTCTCCAAGATGTCACAAAGACTCACAAAAACGTTTTTCACAAATTGATTATCAGTTCTAACTCATGTCTGAAGTTTCTCAAAGTTCAAACTATTTATAAAAGTTTCAGACACAGATAATCGATTATTTTAAAGAATAATCGATTATTTTGTTCTTCAGGTTTTCTGGAAACCAACCAAGAATAATATAATCGATTATTTAGCTGGATAATCGATTATTCCAGAGAGTTGTTCCTGGGATAATCGATTATTTTGGCAAATAATTGATTATTACAGCAAGGCATTCCACTTAGCCTATTTGCTGAAATAATCGATTATATTTAACAATAATCGATTATTTTGAGTTAGTTCTTAAAACTTCATTTTAAGACTCAAAATAACTTTTCAATGTTTTTAACTCATCATCATATACTCTCTACTTAGTTTAGATAAGATTTGCTCATGCACAAAGCATACTTAAGCACACAAAATATAGAAACTCATTCAAAACAATCTATATCCTAAGTTCTATTACATAGCTCCATCTCATAGCATTTTCTTGATTCTTCTTTGACTTTGTTTTTGTGCTCCAAGTTGTTGTTCTCATGTTGTGATCATCAAAACTCTTTAAGCTTCTCCTAAGCTCAACAATATATGTACTATTAAATCTATTATTTATTATCTTAAATGGGTCAGGGAAGAAGAATAAATTCACCTGTTTTTAAAGTTTTCACAATTAATGAAGACAATTAATGAAGACATGAGTGAAAGTGCACGTTGTAATGAATCTTTGTTCTTTTCAAATAAGTGAATATAGTGAAGGAATCCCTGCAAAAGCACACTGTTAGATCCCATTTTGGTTTCTTCAAAAAGGAGTTTCTTCATTAGAGGAGAAGGGTTGAAGATGACTCAACAAAATTGATAAAATAACTAGTGAAAAAAATCACGACTCAACTTGTAAGTAAATAACATGATGCACATACACAAACACACACGCACACATACACACATATAAGGAGTTTAGGGTTTAGGATTCTATACTTTTAGATTATATATATAATTTTTTTTCTTAATTCAAGATAGTTTGATACCTCATTCTTATATAATAAAATTGACGTAATATATCTATTTTGAAATATACTAAAATATGAATACTTTGATTATGTTCAAATTTGCACTTAGATTCCAAAGAGTTGAGAGTAATATTTACAAAATTATCCTCTATAATTGATGTGACAGTCTACTGTGTAAGTGGGTTCAATTGAACCGAGTTTGGATAAATTTGTTACTTAATCCAATCAAAATTAAATGGAATTGGGTTGGGTTGGATAGGATTGGATTAGGTTGAGTCAATCAAGTCAACATAGTTAAATTTATTTATTTATTTTTTATAAAAATTTAAATATTTCAAAATAAATATAAATTATTTGATATATTGCTACAAATGTAATGTTATTAATCAACAAAGTAAATAATGATACAAACTAAATTCTAAAATAAGTTTGTTGATTTGCTACATTGTTATCGGCTCAAACGACTATCATTTATATAAAATAAAATTTAAAATTATATGTGTATTGTTACAATAGTATCAATTCAAAAACACAATATCTTTTATAGAGTAAGAATGACAACGAGTATTATCCTAAACAAGTATACGAACTTATTATATATATATATATACACACACATATATATATGATCAGGTTAGGTTAGATCACAAGTCAAAAAATACAAAATATGTTGCTCAACCTGTATGATATCGAATTTTGATTATGTTGGATTGAGTTTGATCCAAATACTAAAAGATTTCAATCCGAACTCATTGGATCGATTTGGGTCAATTCAGATTCGCGAGTCACTTGTATCTACTTATACCTTAGTACTAATAAAGGTGGATAAGTGACCACATCATATTTATTCAACTCACAAGAAGCACTAAAATATGTTAATCAAAACATGTATGGAAGTAATACTCAATATATTTTATGCTCTTTTGGACTCTTAGTAATAGTTAGTTAAAATATTTTTAGTCATCCATATAATTTCAATTACTTTTATCTTTAAGTTTTGATAGTTTGTAATAAAATTTTTTAATCATTATACTTATCTTTTTCAATCATTTTTAATTCCTGTAATTTAGATAGATCTTTTTAATTCTTATATTTTTTTTATCATTTTAATCTTTATCTTTAATCTTTTTATAATTGTGTTGACATGGTAAAATATTTCAATTTTGTGACAATAAAAAAAGATATCTCAACAATGTATATCACAAATGAGAAAAAGATAGAAGTGCTGAAAGAAATAATTTAAATTTAACAAAATAAATTCAACATAAAATACGCAAAATTGAATTAATTTCTCTATCACATCATCACAAAAAAAAATGTCACAGAAAAAAAAATTAACGATAAAGACAAAAGATATCAAAAGAATTATAAATATAGAGACTAAAAAAATATATCTTAAATTATAAAAATTAAAATTATTAAAAAAATAAGTATAAAAAGTTAAAAAAAATAATTATAAAAATTAAAAAATAAAGTAAGTAAAATTATATAAATTTTTTTTATCCTTGACTATTCCAGCAATGAATCTTGGTCCTTGTTTATTCTCGTCGATGATAATCTTTTTTATGTTAATGAATATTTTTCATAATATATATTGTGGGATGATTCTTACTTTTTTAACTTAAATTTCTTTATTATATGCTTATAAATGACAAGGAAAAAGTAATTATCCATAATGCATGATGACTAGGAAAAAGGAATTATCCATAATGCATATGTATTAATGACTGGATGAGGAAAATGTTCAACTTATATTCTCCTATGCTATTAGTAAAAAAAAAATTCTCCTATAATATAGGTTGTATAATTATATTTTCTTTTTATTTTTCTTTTTCATTTTTTTAATGACAATTAGGTTGCAATACTGGTATGGGTCTCCTTTAGGATTTTCAAATAAAATTCATACTCATCCTTATGAAAATATGGGATACCGTCAGCCTCAAGCGCGGGTTGGTAGGATAACTGTCTATAACTTTATTGTTGAAGGAACAATTAAAAAAATGTTATTTAATTTATATAATAGAAAAATTATGTATTAAAAAATAAATTAATTGTGAATAATTAAACAATAATATTATTTTTCAGTAGAAAAAAATTATTCATAATTTTAAGAAAATAAATAAGTAATATTAAATATAATGAGAAAAGTGTAATATATATATATTTTTTTGTTAGTGTAAAATTATAAATAATAGATATCTTTAACTTTCTCTTTTTTTTTTCTTCCTTTATCTCTAGTTTTTTTATTTTCTTTTTACTTTTTAAATTGTGACATATCTTATTTAGTTGAAATTTCAAAATTAAATTGTAAATATCTACCTCTCCATTTTAATTTTCTTTGTAATGATAATTATTGATTAACTTTTCAATATGCACGGATTTTGTATAGATATTTTACTTTCGTACAAATGCACTATATGTTTAGTCATTTTTTTAAGCAATAGCGTGTTTAATTGTTTGTGCTTACACATTTAAGTTTAGAAATTATGATCATGAGTAATATTTAAATAATTATAAGGATTTCATTTTTTCACTTTGTATAATGCACCAAAAAAAACTCAAGGTCGATCTTGATTGTAAATATAAATTTTTTTTATAGTGTCTACTAATTAAAAAGTAGTATAAATATGACTTTCAACACAATTATTTTAAAAATCAATAACTATCATAAATAATAATAGTGTAAAATTATTTTATATTGTAAGTACATATCCTTCTTTTTCTAAAAATATTCCTCAACCATGTAACTTCAAATTCGTGCCTTTCACTTGTTGGTTGGTTTAACAGAATATGTAAGTCATTTAAGGGAGTACAAAAGTGTCTTCCAAATTATAATTGAACCTTAAATCCACCGTCATTTTAGTTGCTCTCTTCTGATATTCTCTTCAAACTTTTAATAACCATACATAGACGGGGACAGGGCAACCTCTCGCCGTGATCTCACTATCCGTTGATGCCCAAATATCACAAGGGTTGCATTGGCAACATCATCCTCGATTACCTTTTATTTTATGAGTATCATAACAATAAGGGTTGCTCATAAGCTATTAAGAATTTGACATGCACTTGGGTGAGTCCCTCATTTTACTAGTAGTTATCATAACAAATAAGGGTTGTTTGTTCAGTCGGGTTTGTCACATACCAAGGCACATTACCTTAATTAAGTGGTACATATATCGTATCAAAGTATGGATAAAGCCATAAAACATTAAGTATAGTATCTTTACTTAATAATTCATTAAATAGGGGCATAAATCATCCCTAAGCAATGTTATCATATACATGTCTAAGGATTCCCTTGCATACGAGATCCTAAACAAAATAATACTACTATTTTTGGGAAGCTAGCTTACGAAGATATATAATCTTCGAAACATCAATATCTTCTTGACCATGATCTTTTCACCATGTTCAATCTGAAACATAAAACTAAACTAATGAGTGCTACAAGCATTTAAATGTCTCATAAATGTGTCCTTTTCATTAAACTTAAACATTTTTTTAACACAACTATTAACTTTGACATGCTTACTTCCCATATAAACAATACCAAAATCAAAATATGATAATATACTTTGTTATCACAAAAATATTTTTTGACACCAAATTTTTAAACTAATTTGTAATATATATATATATATATAATATCACTATAAACATGTGACATTTATCATACAATTTATTTACTAATAATGTATAGTTTAGTCTAACAAATGATTTATGAACTACCATTTATCTATACAAGTAAAATTAATTGTATAATAATATTAAATATTATATATGATCAACTTTTTGTTATTAATATGAAAATTTTCAACAACAATAACATTTATATACAAATCCTCGTGCATTTAATCCAATCTCCACTGTTAAGCATATATGATCAGCATAAATATGATTAATTGTATTCATTAATATATTTTAGGTTTTTAATTAAGGGATCAACTTATTCTAAAATTAACTTTGGGTAGAATTATTTCACTTTATAACTCATAATCTCACCATTAAAATTTAAAGATTTAACTGTCAAATTAAAAGTTTTTATAGTATTGATGAACTCTACAATTTTTTACAAATTAGAAAATTATTTAAAATTTGTTCCATTAAATCAAATGGATGTATATTAATACAAACATATTATATGCTAATTTGAATTTATATGACAAAATATCATATATTTTTAATTTTTTATTAAAAATAATAAATTTGATCTATTTATTTAAAAAAATTAATTTAATAATTAAAATGTTGAAATTTATTGTAAATTATGAGTTATAAGTGAAGTAATTATAACTAGAGTTACTCTTAAAATAAGTAAATCTCTCCTCTTTAATTAAATGTAATACATGTTTATCAAATGTATGATTCATATGTAAAATATTAAAATTACATTATAAGTGATTAAGTAAATTATAGTATTTTAAACAATCAATATTAAAAGTAGATTAGTGATTTGAAAAGTGAGAGTATATATATATATATATATATATATATATATTATAACTCTTGGTGCAACCTTGCTATCTAGAGGAAGTCAATTTTTTTTTCTTTTGTTAAATAAATCCTTTTGAAATTTTGCAATACATAAAATAATTGACAAAATCTCTTTTTTTAACATTAGAGTATTTTTATTGAGCTAGATGTCAGATACGTGATATTTGACTATTTGTTATTTCTAATAGTTGAGACAACTGCTTTAAGGCTCCCATGTAGTCTACATCTGACGCATTTGTCTCTACAATCAAAAAGGCATGAGTTTGGAATTTCTGTACATGGTCACTTATTGACAATTTGCTTAGCTACTTGACTTGAGACATTTCATTATTCCCAAGCAGGAGACTATTTTCTCAATTGCACAAAGGGGCACAATTGATTCTAATATTGAGAATAAAATGTTACATAATTGATACATCCTAAAAATCTTAAAAGTTGAGGACTGTCTCAACCTTTTAAGGACTACGTTGATCATACCGCTAGTCAATGTTCACCTCAACTACACTAATAAAATCTGCTCATGTACAAAAGTTGCTTTTCAATGAATATCATTCCTAATACTAGCTAAGAACAATCTCAGCTCCTTCACTTTCTGCTTGTGTTCAACGGACATATCATTTTCTGAATCACTCAAATTAATCACTTCAATATGTTGGTCACTTGATTGCTGGCATTTTGAGGAAAAATTGGATTTCTTTGGTGGGGAAGGGCTCAGAAGATCTATGATCTCGTTTTTATCTACACTGGAAACCGCCTCATTGCTATCAGTGTTGCTAATATTCTGAATCAACCCAGTGTGTTCTATGTCATGTGATAGATGCAACGGATCAGCTTCAGCAATAGTAGTTGTAATCCTAGATATCCTCCCTGAAGTATCAGAGGCATTGAAGTTGGCTTGGTCTCTCAAATTATCATCAAGCAACAAATTCTGAAGTTTTAGATCAAGCTCAGCCAGAGTTGACGTAGATTCCTTTTTCTTTGGTCTTCTTTTATGAATATTCTGTTTCTTCCGTTGAGCTTTTCTTTCCTCGAACACCAAAATCTTCTCACGACAGGCACTGCAGTTGATTAATAATGAGACAATAATAAAAACATAAACTAGTCTTTAGTTGTCAACTTCAAAATACTGCAAGGAATTCATGTCTAGGAAAAAAAAAGAAAAGAACCCACCAGCCTTGTCAACTGAGTTGTTAAAAATTATACTTGGTATATACGCAGTCACGCAGCAATAAAATAATAGCTCAACTAGGGAATTCAAGCAAGTTCATCAATTATGTCATATGTATTACCTTTCTAAAAGATCTGCGGGTACTATTGAATTTTCAAGTCCGTCCATTCCTTCCCAAGAAACCTCATAGCATTCTCTCCCTTGAACTTTTCGACTCTTAATGACTTCTGACACAGGACACTTCACAGGGATCTGTGATCATATATAATATACATAAGATTCACACACACACAGATACACACACATATATATAGATATAGATATACATACATATATCCTGGTTTAAAAATAAGGAGCCTGTAGATACAGTGTATGTTCACTTTCACTAATGATACTAACGGCATTATAGAAACTCAATGAATAACAGATTTCCCTGTTTATTGGTGATACGCTGAATGCAGTAGAAGTTCATGACCGTAAATCAATGATCAATGAAGAATTGAACCATTGCTATTTACCAAAATAGAAAATCTGTTGCATATTTACGTTACTTAATCAAATGGACAGTTTTGATCTTAAATAATGAACAAGTGAAAGGGAACATCAGTTATCCGGATGCCACGGGACTCTCATGAGCATGGAGCGGTCATTCTTTTGGTTTAAAATATTTAAATTTTAGAACTTTTCAAATGATCTCATACAAGCAATGAAATGTTAATTAGGTAGTGGAAAGGGTTAGCAATACCATACCTCATGTAAAGGAAGGTTCAATCCAACTTCAGATGAAGTTAAACGCAAATTGGCAAATCGTCGTAAATCTCTTTCAGCTATACTTGGAAGAATATACCCATCTATTAAATAAAATGTCATTTAGCATCGCAAAATAACTTACAACATTCCAGCCCAGACATAGCACCACTCAACTTTTATATTTCAAATGCATAAGGCTTCCAAGTTAGGTAAGGATTAAATGCAAACTCTAGAATTCATTACATGACGAATGAACAACTTAGTTGTAAAACCAGGCCACCCCCAAAACATAATTAAGACATTTACAAATTACAATAATAAATTATTCAACTGGATGTATGAATTGTTGATCTATAAGAATAAGTTTGTTAAAGTAGATGAAGAACCTGTTTTCTCTGAAGGCCACTGAAAGAACTCAGCACATATCTGCTGGAGTTCAGTACGTTGAAACGGATATTGAGCAAGAGCCCTATAGAGATGAATCAAACTTTAAGTAGCTGATAATAATGCTGTACAAGGTGTATTCCAGATTTAATTCATCAGATTACATCAAAAATAAAATTCCAATTAATTAAATTTTAAATAAACACTTGATATCTGTAACTGTTTCAGATTGGACTTCACATCAGTTTTCAGAAACTGACGTTTATACCTGATCAGTAATTAGTATTAAGAACAAAAACAGATACTCATGACCTTTCTTAGTTAGAAAGAGCATGAGAAGTGTTAAAATTCCCAGAGGTCAATTGACTCAGTTTCCACATTTTCGAATTGGTGAGTATATTGAACATATTTCAATCAGCTCTAAATATCAATCTTTAGGAGTTGGAAACAATGAATAATAAAAGATAAACCTACTTGTGTACAATATCTGAATCTGCTGGGTGACATTTTGGCTTCATATAAGCATTAATGACTTGTAAAATGTTATCATCTTGCCGTAAATCATTCTTACCTCCTGCATACGCAAAAGATAGAAACTAAGATACAAAATTAAAGAGACACTGACAATCGTTCATTTGACAAAAAAAAATAAAAATGAACTGCAAGTCATCATTTGTATACAAGTTGACGCAGACAATACATTCTAGAAGAAATAAAATAAGCATAAAGGTATTAGGCATATACATTCCATCAATTGGTTTAGATGTATATATTATATATAACCTAACCGTAACATCTCAGTGCTTTACAATTTACATTTAAATGGACAGTAAACAGTTAGGGTTAATTTAACTATTTTTTAAGCTAATATTATATTTTCAGATATTGGGATTATTTCATTAGTTTAGCTCTGTTGGTTATTTCTTACGGTATTGTTATTTAGGCTTATATTTATGTCATCAGAGGCTGGAAATTTGATCTTGATCATGAGTTGTAGATTATTTGGTTCCCAAGATTGAATAGTCCTATATAAGTCATTTAACTAGTTATAAACAAATTAGGCAGTAGGTTGCGTCCATCGGATTGAATTGACTTAATAAATCCGATAATTCAATCCTAATCAAGACATCAAACCAATTAAATTGATTCAATTAATTAACTTTTTTTCATTTCAAATATGAACCAAACCAATTATAATTAATTCGGTTGTTGAATTTATCTTTTTTCAATTAGCACTAACCCAATGAATTGATCAATTATATTTTAACTTTTGGAATTTGAATTAATACATTTTTTCCTCAAATTTTTCTTCTACTTGTCATTTCTTTCCTTTTAATTCATTTTTATCTTTTTATAATCCTTTCTAGTGTTACCGAATGTCTTAATTTGTCATGTTTATTATGTATTCTTTTACTTTAGAAAATAAATTAATGAGATATATAAAGTAATAATTATAGAAAAACTAAATATTAATAAAAGAGCAAAGATGCATTAATACAAAATTAAAAAGTTATGTAAAATAGACAATAAATGAACATAAAAAGTTGAAAAGAATACTTTTTTAATCATAATCCGATGTAAACCAAACTAACCGAGGTTAATTAAACTTGATAAGTTTGGCTTTGATTTGACTTTAAAGTCGAATCAATCCAACCCATTAACACTCCTACTAAACTCTGTGAATGGAGAAATTGTTTTCAGGGAAAAACACTCCTAAAAACCCATATCATCGGAGATTCCTAAATTAAATATGATAGATGTTATTCTTATGATATTTTTCTCATTTCATCTTCTGCTCAAGTTTTCTTAATTTTTAGAACAGCCTTTTATCAGATTTCCATGGTAAAAGGTATTAATTGCCTTGAGAAATACACCCTAATTGCCTCGAGAATTTGATCCTTTTCACCCCCATTTTTTTTAATAAGTGGAATATCAACAAGGTGGGTGGGCACTTACATTATCTATACTTCAACCGATAAGGTTTTGCTAGTGGAAAGGGACCTGGAAGAGATGTAATATAAAATCATTCACGTGGGTTCATTTAACAGTTTAAGCTTTTGAAATAGTTGGTTCATAGTACTTCTCATTAATGCTTCCCACTTGGAATAATACAAACATGAGTATAAACGACATGGTCTTTTCACTTTCACATAAACACATCCAACTTATCAGAATTTGAAAAACAACTTCTGTTAAAATAGTGTGCACGCTATAATATAATTTGGACAATGTACCAGTCAATAACTCTGGACTTCAAAGTTTACATTTATTATGTACAATTAACAACATGCAAACAAAATCCTGACATATTTGTTGACAAAATTCTTTAAAAATAAGAGCTAAAACCTCTCTCATATGTCAAAATATTTGGTGCAGTATCACATAATTTGGACGGATAATTCTCTGGAAAATTTTCGTATAGCAACAATTTTGAGTTGCATGCAAAATGATTACAACTAAATTTATTGAAAAAAATATATATATCTCGAGAAAAGTAACAGTTGTATGACATTAAGATTAAGATACTCAAATTAGAATGTAATATAGAAGGTATACCTTTTCTTTTTTTCACCCATTCAAGTCCTTCAGATGCAAATTTTTTAAGAACATATTTGTCCCCAATCGATTTGACAATCTGACACGCCGACTCCTATGGCCATGGAAAAAATAAGCAAACACATAAGCATGTGTAAACATGTAATCTCCAGCTTTGTTATACAACAAGGGGGAAAAGCCGAAAACGTAATATGATCGTGAAAGACAGATTTCAGGACTTACTGGACCCAGACCATGAACTCCTTGATAATAATCACTGCCAAGAAGCAAGGAGAGAGCAATCTGGAGATCACAAGAACCAGTTACTGATATTCACCAGAAAAGAAAACAATAACCTTGAATCAATATATATATGCAGGATATGAACTCTTACTAATTGAATAAGTCAAAACATGCAGGGAGGACGGCGGTAGGAAAGAAAACATCATAATCACAGATATGCAAGTAAAATTCCTATATTCAACGTGATATGTTAAAAAACATTTCCAATTCAAACAATTTAAGGTCAATTATGCTTCCTTTACAGGGAAAATTCTATTTTTACAGGCTTTTTAATTAGGCTTCACATGATGACCTTAACTGTAAAGTTAAAAGTTACCCTATTGTTCATGGACCTAACTTTCTCTTTTGGGCTTGACATGCACATATCTAACTGAATTTGTATTGGACAGCACTGGACAATGAAAGATCATCTATTAAAAAAAACAAAATAAATATGAAAAGAAAAGCAATTAAACACTGGTTCATAAGTATGTTGAAAAGTAAATCAGAAATTTACCAACGAGTCCCTTCCAAATCCAAGTTTTCTTTCAATATCTGTCATCTCATAACAAACAACATATCCACCATCTCCTAACTCATTAATAAACAAATCCTCATAAGTCGTATGATGACATAATTAATACAAAAAAAAAAAAAATCCCCCAATAATAAAACAAGTTGATCTACTCACCAAGGCAGATATCCCTATAAACTGTCCTTGCACCAAAAAGGAATGTGTCTGAATCTGAACTGAAACACCCATCCTGCCATAATTATTATGAATGAATGACAGCAATGATGACAGGTTAGCCAACAGAAATAGCATAAGCATCCGATGAATATCGGAAATAACAAAGTGTGTAAAAAGAACTTGAAAATATATAAGCATACACAGACACGGTGCTTACACATAATGATTCAAAATTCAACAAAGCACACTGAGCTTCAGCTTCTTCAATCCTGAATTTTGGAAAAGAGCAATATAATATTAGTTCATATTGTGCAGTAACTATTTTATTATCCAGCAATGTAACTTTTTCAATCAACTATTGAAAAAAATATATCCATTTTTAAGCACGAGTTAAGCTGTTTAATGCCGCTAAAACAAGACATCAAGAACATTTTCAATATTTTTATACAAGAATACAGCATACCATACAATGTTGAGCACCTTCCATCTCATAATGAATCAGTGCTATCATATATACCACTATATAAAAGAAAAACTTATTAGTCCAATTGACAACTGCTCAGCAATGGACATGGTAAAAGTAAATAACTTTCTTCTTGAACTATTATTACTATAATAAATTTACAAAAAAAAAATCCATTTTTTACTCATTTTAAGTAAAATATATTTTAATACCAACAATTACCGGGCACAATATGAGAGTGTCCTCTAAAACAAAACACTGAACCTTAAATTCAATTATATATTACCCATTCAAACAAGCAATGCCAAGACCCATCCCCAAGACTTTAGCCTCTTTGATCATGCAAGAAAACTCAGACCCCATGTTTCTCCGTAATGAAGTAGCTTTCTGTAAGTTAGTTTCATTTTGTGCTACCTGCATTATTATGATTTACTAGCCAAAGTTAGTTCAGAAGAAAGTATGGAGGTTGTATAAAGTATACACGAGAAACTGCAAGAGAAAAGAAATATGAGAGGCTACCAACCTCCTTTCCAACATTTAAGCGACGCCTATAGGTTGACAATTTGATGGCGGGAATTGATCCATCTACCAGACATCAAAGATTAATAACTCGGAAGGAATATGAAAGACTAATGTAAATGAAAACACATTCGAAAAGTAAATAAGCTGAATGAATGGTGACAAAAACATCATAATTAAGTCATCCTGAAAGAACCTAATCATCATAAATATGACCATCAAGTAACATGTCATAAGTCAATGACATACACCAGAATTTCAAATCTGAGATATTACATTAGAAGCAAAGGGGCCAGCATAAGCTACACCACTCCCCTTGTTTCCAGCTGACAGCTAATAAATCGGACTGATAGGGTGATATGAAATGTATTACTTGCATAGTTTGTATAGTGTCAGTAGAACCACACAATATCATAGAAATTGAGATGTGACAATGAAAGCACCAAACCAAAGCCCGTGCAAATAACAGTTGTCCAGTGTCAAATATTGATAGAGAAAAAAAAAATTCAGAGAAAGCTGATCCAAAAGGACACCTATATCACTAGAGACCCATTCTCAAATCTCACATGATGAAATGCTCACTTAAAATGAATACTTCTTTCATCCAAACATACCCTAAGGTTTTCAAGCTTGGTATAAGTATTGCCCATTGCTTTCTTTAGCTAGCATATTCAGCCCATGCAAAACAGCCAATGCTCACAAACTTAGGGCCTGTTTATATAAACTTTTCCAAAAGCAGAAAAAAATAGGAAGGAGAATCAAAATAAGATTTTCCACAAGTTAAAAGTAGCTTATGTATAAGTTAAAAATAAGATTTTGGAGAAGTTAATAGGAGAGAGCTTCTACAAATTACCTTATGCATAAGCTAATTTCAACTTATGGAGAAATTTATTTTATTTTTCCTTCCTATTTTTTCTCTCCTAAAAGTGCTTCTAAAGAATTTTACCCAAATAGACCCTTCAGAGGTTCACAACACAAATACAACCACAGCTACAATTTAAAACCCTGATATACACACACAAACATAACCTACGGTTTCCAGGGTTGGTATTAGTATTGCTGAATGCTTTCATTAGTTAGAATATTCAGCCCATGCAAAGCACCCAATGCTCACCAAAACAAACACGACCACAACTACAATTTAAAACCCTGATACATACAAACACATGCACGTTCGTCCATACACACAACTTCATAACCAAACTTACATGCATAAACGCAACTTGTACCAAAAGTCTAATGTGGTCGTTTTCAACTCTACCTATTGTCGGGAATATGAGGGGGCTAAACTCATATACACCAACTAGCCATGAACAAATCACACAAGTGAAGTCAACACAGTCAACACCACATCTTAACAAAACTGAGCATATCTCCTCATATGTTACTCAACATCCCTATCTCTATCCAATGTGAGACTTCCCACTCACACTTGCACTCCAAAGTCTGAGTCACTCTCTTCTATCCCCATCCATATTTCTCACAACTGAACTAACTACCCCAAACACTCTGTACTTAAAACCTCACTGGTAAAGTTCAAATAGGTGCCATGCAAACAAAATATCCAATTCAAATATACTCACTAACCCAGTTAAAGAACAACCACCTCTTTCACAAGACCAAACAAAAAATTCAATTTTTATAAAGTAAAAAATCCCAATTCTCGAGCAGTGAGCGAAAAATAAAATAAAAAACTCAAATTGAGAAACCTGCGACGAAGACGACGCTGCAATTGAGCGCAATGAGTGCTCTGAGCCGGTGAAAGAGTCCTTTGAGGTACACCTTCTCCTTGACGCAGGCGTGCGACTTGCTGACGCTGTGAAGCTGCACCATCCAGCACGAGAGGTCCACGCACACCCTCTTGTTCCTGAACAACAACAACACAAAGACGCGCGTCAATTCACACACCGTAACGAAGGAGAGAACGGAGTTTCGGGAAAGTTCAACGCAACTGTAGGTGGTGAAGGGGAACCGTTTTCTTGCACGATTCGAGGATGTCCCATAAATTCTTCACGCCCATTGGAATGGGGATTGAAACGTTGGTTAGTGAGGTGAGAGACGAGGATTTTTCTGGCGAGAGGGAAAAATGAAGGGAGGGTTTCGTTTGAGTTTTTAAAATTCGAAACGCGAATTCAAGCGCTTTCAGATCTATGCTGCGTACTTTTTCTTTTGGTTAGAGTGTTTTTTGTCCGTTATAACTAATTTTTATTAGCATCTTTTTGACTCATCATCTAATTACACTAGTATTTTAAGTTTGTGAAATATAGATTTTAATTTTGTATAACTAAAATTATAATTTATAATAAATAATATTTTTTAATATACGAATTATGAATTAGAAATTATTAATTATTTTTCTTTGTCAATTATATTCTTGTATCTATTTAAATTTTAATTAATTTGATAACTATTATATATTATATATTTATTATAAAGTAAAATAAATAAAAAGATAACAAAAAATATTAGAATTACCGACATTAAATATTTTTTAATCTATTATTTAATTTAATTTTTTTATTTATCATATTTATTTATGAATTAAATTTAATAATCTTATATTTTAACTTAAATTATTTATCTTAAATTTAAAATATACTTTATATGTTTAAAATATTTATTTATATAAATTTTAAATATGTTTATATATTCAAATTATAATATTTATTCATAAATATAATTTATTATAAATATAATTATATATGTAACCCCAAGCGTGTGATTTAGCGGTAGGGATTGATCCACACTTAAGCAAAGTCAGGGTTCGAATCCTGCCTTGTGTATGCAGCCGCGCTAAATCTTGGGGCCAGCTATCTCACCCTTACGAGAAATAGAAAATTTAATTCCTTATTATTTTCTTTGAATTGATATGAGTAAACTATTATTTTCTTTGAATTGATATGAGTAAACTATTAAAATCAAAAAGGACTTTTGTAGGCGGCGTTAGGGACCATTAAAAACTATATGAGAGGAATAAATCTTAATATAATTATTTTGTTTTATATTTTTATACAGATATTTTCTGTCATATTTTTCTTTTAATAATTTATTAAAGTTACTTTTTCTTACAAATGACTTTTCATTCTTTTTATTTGTTTATTTATTTAAAATTAATATATAAATATTTTTAACATATAAATTGTAAGATAAAATACATATAAAATAAAGATTAATATTTAATATATAAGAATTTATGTTAAAATAAAATGAGAAAAAGAGTACGGCAACTGACAAATAGTTGAAAAGCTGCACTTTTCCATCGGTGATGACGGCATCATAAAAATCTCACCCTTTTCAACTTTCCTTTCTATCCCTCTCCCGATTCTCTCTCTGCCACCAACACTCAAACACATAGTGTGCAGCACCAGCAACCGCAAAAATGGCACTGCAAATATGGGAGACACTGAAGGAAGCCATAGTCGCCTACACAGGCCTCTCTCCACCCACCTTCTTCACCCTCCTCGCCCTCTTCCTCGCCATCTACTACGTCGTTTCGGGCCTCTTCCCCTCCTCCGACAACCACCGCCACGTGGCTTCGCGCGACTTCGAGCCCCAGATGGAGCCTCTGCGACCACCCGTTCAGATCGGCGAGGTCTCCGAGGAGGAGCTCCGAGCCTACGACGGCTCCGATCCCGAGAAGCCCCTCCTCATGGCCATCAAGGGCCAGATCTACGACGTGTCGCAGAGCAGGTATAGTCCTTCAATATAACTCTGATAACACCAACTCATCACTATACAACACCCCTTTTGTTGATTTTGGTTTTTGAGTTTTACCCTTTTTGTTTTTTGTGGTTTTGGTGGTGGGTTTTCGTTTGTTTGGTCAACGGGGCCTTTTTTGGGTTCTGGGTGCTTTTTTCTGTTGCTTGAATAAGCATTTTACGAATAGAAAGAATTTAGAGCAGTTATATAGATGCTTTTAGCGTTGTTTTTGGGATTAAAATTAGAGTTTTATTTTGTTAATTTGTGTAATGAAGGTTTGAATTAAATGTCAACATAGACTATCTAGAGGAAACTTCAATTTTGATCGGTAAACAACACCAAAAGCACACAAGAGACTGCATTTTGGTGTTGTTTTGTAATCAAAATTAGTGTTCTACTGTTTTACTTTTTTAATTTGTGGAGTGAAGGTTTGAATTAAATGTCAACATGGATTATCAAGGTGAAACTTCAATTTTGATTAGAGAACAATACCAGAAACACCTAAGAAATTGCATTTAGATTTTTTTGGGACAAATATGCATTTTGAGTTTTCCCCCCTTTTTCTTTGGGTTACTCTTGTTAAAAATTGATCCCTTTTTTTAAGGTTTGCTTTAGGTTTTTTTTTTTTTTTTTTTTTTTGTGGAATGGTGTTGGTGTTTAGGTTTGAAGAAATTATGTGATTTTTCAGTTTCTTTTTCCTACTTAAAGTTAGAGGTCTTGAATTTGTTTTTATTTTATGATGAGGGGAGGATGCAATTCTACTAAGGTTTTGAAGTCTCATGTTTTTAACTAAGCATTTTTTGGTATGCATAGTAGGAGTGGATAATGGGAGGATTGAAGATAGTGAATGTGTATGGAGTTGTTTAATGTTGTATTGAATTATGTTATTTTTTAGGCCACCATTTTCCTACTATTGGCCTACACTTCTGCTAGCCTGGCCTCAGAGTCTGAGTTGATTAGGTGGTAAGTGGGCAGGAGGAAAATGGATTGCTGACTGAAAATGACATTTTACCAAAGTAATGACCTCGAGAGAAAGTGACTTGGATTAATTTCCACCTTTCTCAACTGAAAGTCTAATATCATGTATTGAATGTAATGTGACATTCATTTCAAGTTTTCTTCAAGTTGAGTGAAAAAGAATTGCATGATACTCGGTTGAGTAGGTTCTATTAATTGGATTGTTTAAAATATGATGGAATGCATTCTGTTTCATGTAATCCATTATCCCCCATTCCCATTTTCTTTCCTTTCAATTTGGAAAATACAGAATGAAACTAATCTTATTTTTGTTCCACTGTAAAAATATCTGAATGATGTAATGATTTATATGCCCTTCCATCTCAATGATCCCATTTCATTTCATTCCACTCACCATTCAAGTCAAAATTACTTTTACTTTGTTGAAAAGGGTGTACCTCTTTTTATGTATGCTGTTACTTTCCTATGTTTTTTACTGTAGTTTTCATGCATCTGAAAGAGAGTTTGACGAAATAGTATTCATATCATTTTTTGTTCTAAACAGGCTAAAAAGATTGACCAAGGTGATTGGTATGCCAGGGTCATTAATCATTATCTCTCACTGTAGTGTTCTTTCATTCTCCAGAAATAATGAATGGGTGTTTATTTAGTCTCACCTGGAAATTATGATTCTGGGGTGGTTAGGCCTGTTGGAAATACTGCCTTTTGTAAATTTTGAACTTGGGAATCCCCACTTATTATCAAATCTAAGTTGTCCAGTAGGCTAAATTTTTCGTACAAATTTTTTATTATATGAATCATACAAGTTTTTGATTGAGTAGGTGGGTGTGACAGGCGAGGGAAAACAAACGCATGTTATTTTTAATGTAGGTTGGTAAGACCTAATAGGCAGTTGTACGTAGTTTGCCAATTTAGTGTTTCATTTAACTCTGATTACACCAGTTATCCTAAAGTTGCTTGCTTTATTTTTGCTGCTCTATTCAGTCTGTTATACGCCCCCGCAAATTTAAACTGCCCTCGCCCCCGCCCCCAATACCCGCTGGGGATAAAATCTGGGTCCCCATCCCCGCCCCCGGCGGGGTTCGGGTTTCCCCGCCCCGCCCCCGCTTCTATTTTTTTTCTTCTTTTTTTCTTTTAAATAAATATGAACAATTT